ATACAACGAGAAAAAAATTAGTCAGGAACTTCCTCTTGTATGTAACTGAGTTGAATTTTCTTCGTAGGTGCCGGAGAAGTAGTAGTAGCCTTTTCTTCAGCTTCAGCCTAAATAAATTAGAAAAAATATTGTAATTATCAGTATTTATTTGAAAGACATTACAATGTAATTCAATTTATATAGCAATGAATAAGAAATAGAGCAATGCCTCGTACAAGCCAGCACTTTTAATACTAGAGATAGATTAAAATGAAAACGACATATCACGTGATCTGCGCAAAAGACGAAAACGCGTCGTGTGAAGTGAAGTGGGAAGTCATACTTTGGTTAGGTTTTAGGTTGTGTTATTAATATTTCTGACGATATTGAATGGTTCTTGTTTGTTGTATTTACATCGTTTTCTATAACTCTGTATTTTCCGTCATAAAAGTAATCGGTTCTTTTTAGAACTTCGCTGTGTGTTCGAATAGTAGTGCTTTATCGGTAGAATAAAATTCTAGACGACATCATCATACTAAGAAGAACTTTCGACGACCACGTCCGAAACGTGACTGAAGTCTTCAAGAAATTGTCAGCCGCAAGACTGAAGCTAAGTCCCAAGAAAAATAATGGGACTTTGCTCCTACGACCGAAGATTCATACGAGGATTTACCAATATAGCCCGACCACTACATAGATTTTCAGAAGATGGAGTTTCATTCCATTGGACACCCGAATGTCAAAAAGCATTTGAACACCTTAAGATTATACTCTCTCGAGCTCCAATCTTGACGTACCCACAGTTCAGCGAATCCTTCATCGTGGATGCCGACGCCAGCAATGTGGGACTTGGTGGTGTGTTATCCTAAGTACTAGAAGGCGAGGAAAAGGCCATTGAGTACTTTAGTAAAACACACTCGAAACCAGAACGAAATTATTGCGTCACTCGTCGAGAGCTATTGCCAGGAAGAAATTATTGTGTCACTCGTCGAGAGCTATTGGCATTGGTTAAAACCCTCGAGCATTTCTACAAGTACATGTATGGACGCAAATTCTTCTTAAGAATGGATCACAACTCCATGTAGTGGCTACTACAATCCAAGAACCCAGGACAGATGGCACGATGGTTACAACGACTTCAAGAATATGAGTTTGGTATCGAGCATTAATCAAAGATCAGAGGAAGGACGAAGATATTGGCTCAATAATGAGATGTAAAGAAGCCGGAACCGCAAGACCCTCGCGGGTAGATGTAGGCCGTGTAAGTCAAACACCGAAAAATTATTGGGTGCAGTGGACTTCCCTTAACCTGAGCCACGGCGGGGGAAAATCCAGATGGAACCAAGTGGTGCTTCTGAGAGATACTCTATCAAGATGGAAGGGACTTTTTCCGAAACTACAACAGGCTTGGGATGGTGCATACACGCTACCCGACGCATTAACGACGTTGTTTAGCAAATTCAGAAAGGACCTTGAGCAAAAATAAGGATCGTCCATTTTGTGCGGATTGCTCCCTATACAGGGGCGACGTCAGTGATCGGGACGATCAGTTTTGGGAAGGGGGGCAGTGTCACATGTATGTATGTAGGCAACCTGACATACTGCCAAAGAAGACCAGATTTCTATGAGGTACTGGAACATTCTGGAACGGCTAATCTCTATAAATAGTTGTCGAGAGGAGTAGTACGAGTCAGAGAGTTTGAGCATAACGCTCCGAAATTTGATGCTTTTAGCAAACTTGTTGCGGGTGGCGTCGAAGTGTCCTGCCAGTTTATGTTGGATCTCGTTGTATGACATAGTTCTTGGATCAGCGGGACTCACTAGGATCTTCGAGGCATCATTGAGTTCAGAACCCATGTAGACCTGTGTAAAGTGTGCGTGTTGATCCGCTGGTACCTTGCTCAGGTCGAGCGCCCATGTGAATCGAGTGAAATAGTCGGCTATAGTCGTCCCGTCGGTTGCACGATACGGTTGCATTGAAAATTGTGGCGGTCGAGGCTCTGATGACGACGGTGCTGGCCCTGTTGTCTGTCGGAGTGCGTCGGCGTTGATTGAGAATTGTTGGAGTTGCTCAGAAGTTAAGTCCGGCATGGTGAAGATGAGTGGAGAGAAGTTTTTCTAACACGCACTGCGATGAACTTAGTTCGGTGCACACACTTGCGTTGGAGTTAGAATGTTCACTCGGTTTCACAAAGTTATTTATCTTATCCCATTCCTGACACCACTGTTAAATCGTGGGGTAAACATAAATAATAACCACTGTTATGAACAACTGTATTTATTTATAATGACACAGAGTCGATGAGAGAAAAACTGAGAAGACTGAGAGTGTGGTGAGCGGGCGTATATATACAAATGAAGAAAGTTCGGAGTGGAGGAAAGGAAAGTTCCAGAGGAATGTACTGGAACGTTCTAGAAACGGCGGAATATTCCATGCACACGTTAATACACAACATGCGGTATTGAGTCTGTGCTCTGTAATTAGAAAACACCCAATAACTACTGGTTATCAATTCAATTTATGGTTTATTAAGTGTTTTTAACCCATGGATACGTTGTGACCTGTGTACATACCATAGGTATCACACATAATTTTATACGTTACATTTCATTTGTATATAAAACTATTTATGATTTTGTTAAATGTCTTAATTATGATTTGAGCCAAAAGGAGCCACCAAAGAATTCGCTCAATGTCGCCATTGTATGAAATTCTTTCAGCCTGGGTCTACTCTTTCTGCGGTCGCAACCATGTTACCGCCGAATGTAAGGCGCTAACTGCAAAGGGAACCACCGCGTCACATATCGTGGCTGTCCCAGTACCTAAGGAAACCTTACCATCCAAAAACCCTTCCCTACTCCCGCCGCTCCAGAAAGCGTTCAGACAACCCCTCGTCCTTCAGCCCCCACCGTTACTACTCTCCCCCAAAAGTCTTATACCAGGGCAGTGATAGCAGCCCGCCATTCACATCCAAAAACCCAAAGCAACCCCAAGCATCTCTTCAGCGCAAGGTGCTTTCCCAATTCTAGAAAAAAAAAATTCAGGTCATCGTGCAAACGATGGTAGCTAGCATAGTCGCTACCTCTGAACACCCACCCTGGAATGCTCAAAGCATTAGAGTGAAATTGACTGAACTTGAACACTTCCTCGAGGAACAGTCAAACGGTGTTGCCTGCATCACCAAAACCCACTTATCCCAGAAAGTCATTGTTATCGTCTTCACTTCACATCCTGTAGAAGAACCGTGAAAATTACCAAGGCGTGGCGTAACTATTCTCGTTAGGAAGTATTTAAAGTATACGCCCGTCTTTTTGGCCACCAATTCATTAGAAGTCGTTGAAGTCTTCCAGCGCCTTCAGAATAATTTTCCTTTACCCTACCCACCTGAATAAAATTTTTCGGATTTCCTCTTCTCCTCCCCCAAACGTCTCGACCATCGTCGCAGGCTAGCTCAATGCCAAACACGCCTCTTGGGGCTGCCGAAAAACTAACAGAAAAGGCATTTCCCTTCTTGCCTAAATTCTCGACCTCAACCTCACTGTTGAAGCGCCCCCAGGTCTTACGTACCTGCTTGCCCTCCACAATCAACTTCCAGGCATTCCTGACCTCTTCGTCTTAAAAAATGTCACTTTTTCCGCCGATCTCGCCGTTATCGACGCTCTAAGCTTCGAAAGCTTCGACCACCTTTCAGCCCTAATAAAAATCAATCTCCGGCACTATCGCGCTTCAGGAGTTGTGTTTTGAAAATTTCCCTTCGAGGAAAAACTAAACAAAAAAAAAAGAAACAGTTGAAGGACCAGTCATTGTCGGAAGACGACTTCGACCATTACCTCATCGCCTTTGATGATATACAATCAGTTGTGAACGAGATGCCAGGAAGTAAATTTCAATCGACCGCGGTTTTAAGATTGGAAAACTTTTCTACATTTACCTACCATGATCTGCCATGAAAGCCTACATAATCTGAATATACATCTATACAGAGAGGATATATCCAGAGTAGACCCACAACTAGAGAATCCACGTAAGAGGAAAACGCAGGTGTTTAGTTCGCTAATCTTTTTGTTAAGATGTTGAGACACCACAATAATTCCAAACTTCTTGAGGTTAAAAGTACTTTATGTCCAAAGGAGCTAAACACATTATTAACACACTTAGCTCGCAATAATGAGAAGCTATTATCTATCAATGCACAATTGATCAGCCTGATGCACTAGAGTGATTGGGAGAAAGTGGAACGATTGCTATACGAACGAATGATTATAACTGAAGCCATCACATGGAACCGTCAGAAGAAAAAATTCGATGCATTGGATAAGAGTAAGTGAGGACTTTCGGATCCCAATGATAAATTGATAAACAACCTGATAATCATTTTAGGATTGTAGTCAATCTGTCGAACAAAGTAGGTATTATTCACCGATGAAGTGAAAAAGGCACGTAATTTTGCGGTAGTATCAGACAAGGTTCCTGTGGGGGATATCATTGTCTTCTGATACATAAAGATGATCAAATAAGGGCAGAAACATGAGCTATCTTACAACGAGCCGAATCTATTGAAGAGTAATCTTACTTACAGTGATCATGAAGCCCTAAGAACACTGAACAAAAACAAGGTATTTATTTAATCAGCTGAAAAAGGTATGTAATGCAACTGTAATCATGACAACGGAAGACCATGACGGAAAGGTGAGGATGATAATGGACCGTCCCGCCTACAAAAAGCTAACACTACACCCAACACAACGGATAATGTGGAAAGCAATTATGCTTCTTAAGGAATTGACATCCATAACTGAAAACCTACACAGCCTAAAAAAAATCAGAAGTCCTTCTACCGAGGCTTTATGATTTACCAAAAATCCACAAACCGGGAGTACCACTGAGGCCTACTGTAAGCACTAAAGGAGGCTCTACCAACGAAATCGGTAGATATCTGGTCAAATCATTACAATGAAAGATTGATAAACGGATAGCTTTATCGTTGAGAAGCTAAAATCAATAAAGCTGACAAAGACATTCTTGTGATCTTCGATGTTTACTATGGTAGCGATAGATAATAAGTAGAGGTTCTGAATCACCCAATCAGGCAATTTCTACGGAAAAGAAGAAATAGTGGTACTACGT